ATTTTACGTTGATGTGAATATCAAAATATATATATTAAATATTTTATAGAAATCTGAAGTATTTTATTTTTGGGATAACAGTGTCTTACGAAGAAAGGACTAATACTGGACAACGTGTAGTGCTGGTCATTTTCGAGTTGCCAAATCAGTTCTTTCTTTCTTGAAAAGTACTGTACTGTACTAAACTTATTTTTTATTTATGCAGAATACTGTCATTTCGTCTCCTTGAAACATTGCGGATTCAAGACCCTGGAAGAGCTTCGGATTATCAATGCCATTCCGAAAGCCACGCACGGATCAACTTATGCATCGAATACATCTGCAAATGACATCCCGATTTGGGAGCGTTGCATAATCAAGGATGTGAGCATTGCGAAGATTCCTTCCCTGTTTTTCACTGGTTAAATGAAGCGGGATTTTGTATAGAAATTTCTGGATTGTATGATCAAGAGGAAGCATGAGACGTGCCATCCAGGAAGCTCAGCAACGCTTTCCAAGAAATCATTGCAAGAATTTAGGAAGGTCCTGATGAAATCCTTGCAATCTGCAAAGGGCTGCTGGCTACCAAAGTGAATGTCTCTCTTTCGGAGCTCTCCATATTCTCCGATTGTGGAAATGTCTGGAAAGATCAGTATTCAATGTTGGAATGTAATTTTGGACGTGCTGCGAAATTCGACGAACAACTTTAAACTGGGTTCGATGTGAGAAGTTACGTGTGTTTTGCATCTTTTTGTTGAAGTTTTTCACAAATCAGCATTCCTTGGGATTTTCGTGAATGGAAAGGAAGAATAAGCTGATTTTTGCATGACTTATTTTGCGGCTGTGATCGGAGAGATACTCAACAGTCAGTTTTGGCTGCTAATTTTCTTGATCACTCAAAGTTCTATCATTTTTCCGAGCCTTATTATGGATTAAGCAGCTGTGAGTAAGTTGAAAGTACTGTAAATCTTATTTGAGTTATTCTCTGGAATGCTTTTCTGTTTTCGTACCTATCATTTTCGGATGCTTCGGGCAATTATGGCTTTGATCCAAGCCGCAAAGTTGCGATGAAAATCTTGCTCCTATTCAATGTTGAAGAAATCATCGGTAAAATATGTTGGAAAGTGAAGAATGGTTTGTTTTATTTCAATCTGTAATTTGGAGTGTTGTTCAGAGATGTCGTGTTCAATAGTTGTCTTCAACTAGCCTTTCTTCTTGTTCTCCAAGCATTCCCAGAGATTGATGAAAAATTCTGCGTCTTCCCAGGACTTGATGAGTCGCACAGGATTCGGGCATCTTGTTTCAGGATGGTAACCGAAGTGGACGTTTTGGTTGTGGATAGGCCTGATCCAAAGGGTTTGTCCCTGGGAAATGGCAGCGTGAGACATTTTTCTAAGTTAGCGTGGCACATTTATTCCAGCAAATTGTATTTTCGATTCAATTTCGATTGTCACGTTTTCATTTTCATTGTCCGACCGCAGCTTTCATGACGCAAACTGGTATCCCAACTATTCTTGGACAGCGGAATATTATGGTATTTGTTTTTGGAGCGGTGCGTCTGTTTGTTTTTGCTGTGATGTCAATGAGGAGATTTGTTCATTCGTATTCGTAGAGTTTTGAATCAGTACATCTTTAACGCGTGCAGATTGCAGTTCCTCGACCAATTTTTCTGAGCTTTCTTGCGATTGTGGAACAGACGTAATTTGATCTCTTTGGGCCGCCGCGAACTGTGCAGCTTGGAGCTCTGAATTTACGTTCGAAATTTTCTCATCTTGTATCTTTTTGACTTCTGATTCTTTGGGCAATTCTTCTTTGATAGAAGTTTCGTTGCTTGAAGATGTTTTTTGTTGAAGTGATGAAAATGAATTATTTTTATCGTTATGTAATGCCGCGGATTCTGCAGCTTCCAATCGTGAAGTTGGTGTCAAAGATGTTTCTTTCTCTACAGTTTTCAAAATGGCAACCGGTTTCTCTTCGTTAGTTTTTTCATCACTTGAAGGTAAGTCTTGAGATTGTGACGCTTGAATCTTCTGATTGCTCGGGAAATTCGTTTCCAATTGTGAATCGAGTCTCAGAGAGTTTTCTTGTTTTGTTTCGGTTTCCAATACCTCTGCCGAATTTTTGGGTTGATTTTTTTCGTTATATATTCGGAATTTATTTTGAGGTTCCACCACGATATTAATTTGATTTTTCTTGGTTTCCGGGAATCCTCTATTTTGGTTTGGATTCAATGCCAAGGGAGATTCTTGCGAATGGGGAGATTCCGGCCAGGGATCAACGTTAGAATTGACAGCTTTAGGAGCAATTAGGTTTCCTGCCTCGGACATTAGTACGGGCTTTTCCGCCGTCTTATAAGTGCCGGATATTAATTGTTCTACATTGATATTGTGAGTATCAGAAGATTGTTCGATTTGAGTCTTGGGCTGATGAGCGTGATTGCGTGGATCTCCGTGGTCTTTACCTTGAGTGTGATTGGCTTGGTGCGCATTGTTTTGCTTAATATTGACTTTTGTTGTAGTATTAGTATGTCTATGATGATTATCTCCAGATTTTAGGTGATTATTGTTGGGATTAGTTACGTTATGTTGTTCTTGCGAGACAAGAGAGAGTCGAGAAGAGGAAATATTGAAATTGTTCTGATCTTTCAGATGGTGAGAAGCTATGTTTGGAGGATTCTCTGCAACTAAGGCGGTTTGTTGGCTTAGGGATTGCTGTTTCCCGGGTTTTTCAGAATGAAGACCCGGGGAAAGAGGTGCACTGGGATCATTCAAGGATGTTTTATTATTAATTTGAGGATCATTAACATTATTCGGTGTGGCATTTTGGGAATCATCAAAATGTTCATTTTGTGGTTGGGGTTTGATGTGAATATTTTGTAAAATGAGATTCTCTATGTTTTGAGTATCGTTTGGTGTAAGTGTGATATGAATTTCGGAGCCCTGTGCCGTTTGTTGAGAGACTTCAGATAGATTCTGGAGGGCCTCCATCAGGTCAGAGCTCTTCGCTTTGGCCACATACGCAAGCAAAGCATGAATCTGGTCTACATCATATTGTTCCCCCTTTGTTATGAAATGCTTGCATTCTTGAGATTGGCACCCACATTCAGATGATTCAACGTTCTCATCTTGCCCAGCTTCAAATCCACGAAAAATTACCTTGTCCTCTGCAATGGAAATGATTCATCAATCACAGTGAAAAACTGGCTTGATTTTCACATGCTTACCGTTTTCCTCCTCCTTTTCTTCTTCGTCTGTAGAATATTGACAAATAAAAAGGTTTTCAAGATTAGTGCGTTTAGGTTTTCAGGGTTAAATGTTCAATTTAATGTTCAAAGAGCTTTCTTAGTTATTCGGAGTTTTAATTTTTGAGGTTTTAGATGGAAAGGATATCGAGATTTCTGATTTCGGAGTTGTGGTGCTGTATTTATGATGTGAATTTCGTAGTAGAATGACTTTGATGCATTTTCAGCGCCTTCTCCTATTGCAATTTTTTCTCGAACCCCCTGAATTTTCCTTGTTTTCTTCATCTTCACCTTCTTCTTCGCCGTCTTTTTCATCCTCTTTTTTCTTTTCTTCTTCGTCGTCTTCATCCTCTTCTTTCTTTTCTTCTTCGTCGCCTTCATCCTCTTCTTTCTTTTCCTCTTCGTCGCCTTCATCCTCTTCTTTCTTTTCTTCCTCTTCTTCGTCGCCTCCTTCGTCACCTTCCTCTTCCTTCTCTTCTTCTCCTTCGTCCCCTCCGTCCTCTTCCTTTTCTTCCTCTCCTCCGTCTCCCTCTCCTTCTTCCTTTTCTTCCTCTCCTCCGTCTCCCTCTCCTTCTTCCCCATCTCCCTCTCCTTCTTCTCCATCTCCCTCTCCTTCTTCTCCATCTCCCTCTCCTTCTTCCCCATCTCCTTCTTCTGCATCCTCTGCGTCATTGTCACCTTCTTCATCTTGTCGCTTGTGTCGCTCCAAGTTTTTCTCTGGCGTTGTGGTGTCATAATGTTCAATGTATGTTGGTGTTGTGTTGTCAGCGAGCGTGTTGTTGGAAAACTCTGAGATAGTTAAAAGAGGCGGCTTTTTTGTTTTTGTATATGGATGCATCTACGGTAAGTCAGTATCAAGGTAAATTTGACTTCATTGTTCTGAATCGTTCGATTTCAGTGCAGTTTTGCTAATTGAAATACTTTGCCGACGAGTTCTGAAACATAGCGGGAATTCCTGAGGTCTAAAATTAATCTTCAATTGAAGTGATCGAATTTGCTGATTTGTCTAATTTGCACTGTATTTTTAAACGAAAAAAAACAGCCAACCCATCTTCGGCAAGTGTAATTGACCTTGCATTTCGTGAAGAATTTATCGTCAAAACTCAATCAAAATATTTTCCATCTCCTGGGTATTTTTTAGAGATTTTAATGGATTTATGGATTTCTGCTTGAAGTAAGTTATCTTTGATGATTACCAGCGCCTTGACCAATTTTGCGAATTTTCATAGCGTTATATTTTAGCACGAAATTCTGATACCGTCTACGTATTCTGGAGAAGCTGATAGAGAATAATTTGCTTCGTCGTTGAGGTTTCCCTCTTCCACGAGCGCTTCCTGCCGTTCTTCCTCCTCAATAGGAAAAGGAAATCCAGCTGCTTGTTGTACAAATGCAACGCACGCGAAAGACACCGCAAGTGCCACTGTGAGAAGTACCGCTTTCATCATTCTGGACCACTGATCTTTTCTGAAAATGATCTGATAACTAACCGCGATGAAAACCAAGAGAAGGGAAGAAAAAAAAGCAGGGTGGAAATTTGGCTCACAAAGAAATCGGAGCTTTCCGGGCTAATCTGTAAGGCTCTGAAAACGCGTTGAACTTGTGTTGGGAGACATGGAGTTGAATTTCACTGCACTTGTTATAGATTGGGACAAAAAGCCGGACTGCCGAATGTATGCAAGCTTTGCTGGAAAGTCCTTTTTATAAAGGCTCATTATATAGACATGAGTTTGCTCGTGTATTCCATCCAAAAATCACGTATAAGAGGAAAGCACCATTACCCAAACGAAACGATCAGTAATCGACGCTTCCGTGAACCTGCGGTCATTTGCTCGTGATTCTTCACGAAAAACGCATGACTGATGAGGCCAAAGTTAGTTTCATGATGCGTCCATCCCACGAATATGAGTTTATCTTACTCCTCTGCTGCAAAATAAACAAAAAAATCGGATGTAAATTGATTTGAAATCGTGTACGTCAAAATGTTTTTTTTTCCCGGAAAATATGTTTTCGTTGATACGTTTGAAACGATATGAACTGATGATACCAGGAAGCAATTCCCGTTGGATACATGCTCATTTTTTCCAAGGATATTCAATTTCAAAGGCAAACAAAGTAAAATCTTGTTTCAATACCGAACTCGCATCCAGGATGAAATTTTTTTTGTTGCTATAGTCTAACGGTTTTAAACACATTTTCGACTAAAATCTGGCGGGAAATAGGGAAAAAATACCGTAAATTGCCTCTACGGCAGCTAATCCCACACCTGTTGTGATTTCGAAACCTCGCTGATGAAAATAAGGATGAACATTTTTTATGCAATACAGTACTTTTCTAATATTGAAAATATCTTTCTAGTTTCTCCTGTAATTCGCTGCTTGTCTTTTAAAGATAAAATAAAAGTACTGCAGATGTGGGAGAAATACTCTCTTCCAAATTTTGATTTGTCCCTCGTGATGACGAACGAATTTTTCTTGGCTCTCATCAATATTCGCATTCATCATATACTGTATTTGAAAATCTGGTGTCGCGGAAAATAGAACTTTGAGGCTTCAATCGTGGAAAGAATAACATTAAGGAAAAAAGTATTTTTATTTTTATGCAGAAAATGCCTGAAAATAGTTGTCTCGATAGTCAATGGCGTCATGAGATTGCAGATAAAATCTGCATACGGTAATATTGGATCTGCATATCAAGAAAATCTTCTTAGGAGATAAAAAAATAAATCGGTTTGAAATTCGATTCAACAAAGAATACTGGCCTTCATTTTCAGATGATGTAAGACAGGATAGTGAAAATGCTGTTCTTTTCATGTGAAGATTGATGGGAACTAGATATGAAGCATATGGGTATAGAACCGACAGATTATATTTTTTTTTATAATAAAATTTGATGAACTTATTGTTTCCCACATACACAGACATAATTGTTTTCTCTTTTTGCGGCGCACTGAATATGGTTGCGTTTCATACGCGATCAAATCAGAGTGATGCGTTCGATCGTTGATGCTGATAAAGCAAAGTGCGGGTGTGTATTTTTCAGATTCGCAATTTTTACAAATGATTTTCGGAACGCGTGCTTAATGTCTTTCAATAGGTGCCATCGAAAGTCGTGGGAAAATTCCGGATGATATGGCGCATTGTAAGAATGAGACTTCGGTATTCTTCGTGCGTGGCGTTTTGTTTTATACTCCTTCTTCCTTCAGAGGTCAACCTCGGTCGCATTTTTTTTGGTCAGGTCACTTCAGGATGGCGAATATCCTCGTGGCGGGAGACTGTCGAGGACCGTCTGTGACGAGCTTATTTTATCCCTATTGAGGTTGGCTTGATCCCTCGACCGGGGCAGTCTGCTGCTCAGCACGCTTGGGTTCAGTTTGCTGCTCAAGCTTGGGTTCAGTTTGCTGCGCAGGCTTGGGTTCAGTTTGCTGCTCAGGCTTGGGTTCAGTTTGCTGCTCAGGCTTGGGTTCAGTTTGCTGCGCAGGCTTGGGTTCAGTTTGCTGCTCAGCCTTGGGTTCAGTTTGCTGCGCAGGCTTGGGTTCAGTTTGCTGCTCAGGCTTGGGTTCAGTTTGCTGCTCCGGCTTGGGTTCAGTTTGCTGCGCAGGCTTGGGTTCAGTTTGCTGCTCAGGCTTGGGTCCAGTTTGCTGCTCCTGCTTGGGTTCAGTTTGCTGCTCCTGCTTGGGTTCAGTTTGCTGCTCCTGCTTGGGTTCAGGTTGCTGCTCAGGCTTGGGTTCAGTTTGCTCGACGACGACGACGACGGGCGCTGGTACTTCGGGTACCTGTGCAATACCATCCTGAGCCTGCTGTACAGGCTTCAATTCCTCGACCTTCTCGATTCCTTGGTCCTTAGCTTGCTCTTTCTCGACGACTTTCGTCACGATATCTTCTTCATCCATGAAAAAAAAAATTCGACTGAAGTTAAACGAGCTTGACAGTTCAATTATTGGGAATATACAGCACTGGGAATCATGTGGAATATATTATTGCTATTTTTGGCTTTTCGTAAGCCGCGAAATCCCAGTTCGTCTTATGCGCATATGATGCATAATAACTGAAATATGATTAATACAATTTTATATATATATATGCGTGGGGAAAATGGCACGTTATTTGCGTGGCTACTTGAAATTTTCCTCCAGCTTTGTCGATTTTAATGAAGAAGCATATCGATCAATGCAAATTGTTTTATTGAAATAAATCATGTCGGTCATTCCTGTTGATCAACTATATGGGACCCATATATGTATAAATCCCGTATTTACGCAATTATACTCACTCCTAAAATATTATAAGCCCCCCCCCCCCCGAGATTTTTGATGCAAAAAATTTAAAGACCTACTTATAGGCGAATGCGCGTGAGAACCCCATTGCCTTTCGAGTGTTCTGATTTTCCAGGAACCTATAATTTCTGACCGAATTCATACAGCAACTATATATGGTCATATACCGTACTTTTATATTTATTCAAATGTCTACAGCATGGATTATTAAATTATGTAGACCAGTGCTGTGGCTATATATACCAGCTGAATACTTATACAAGTATGTTAAGGTGGGACTCAATCGAGGAAATACGGGGTTTATATTTACACGAATTGCAGCATAGATTTGCGAATATATACAGATGAACTTCAAGCTACAACGAAATTTGAGGGAGCACGGAAAAATCAGTTCCGAAGGGAATTGCGTTTTATAGAGAACCTGTATTACATGGGAAGAGAACCCTGTATGGCGCTGAAACTTCGTGAGAAAATCAGAGAAAATCGTTATTGAAAAGATTGTTGTAGAGAGGCAGTCCATCTTATTGTACAAGCGCCTATTAATTTTTCAAGCTTCTAAAATTGAGGAAAACGGGATGCTTATGTTTGTATATGAATACGGCATTTTTTGTGGTTGATTTATAAAACAACCACAAAAAATTCTAGTTATGGAGGTTTTAGAGAGAACGCCTTTTTGATGCATTTTTCTTTGTAGAATTAAAGCAGGAATATGAAAAAAATGTCGACATTTGGAATAATGTACAGTATCTGACAGAGGGAGGCTCGAGTTACGGAGACTCAACTGCTTTATAATATAGGGAATCTTTCCCAAATCACAGGTTTTATATATAGTCATTACGAACCTTTCAGTTCTTCTTGCTTATTAGTCTGCGGATTCTGAATAACAGCGGGTTCTGCGCTATTCAAGCTGAGATTTTCGACGTTTTCCGGCTTCTTCTCTGGAACATTTTGATTTTCAGCAGCAGCAGGCTTGTTATCAATGATGTCTTCTGGCTTGACTGCTGCCGGTGCTGGTTGTTCGGCGGAAGCCTTCACTTCCTCAACATTTCGCTCTTTTCCATGCTGGGTTTCGGCGTTTTCCTTCTTCGGTTCCTCGGAATGCGAACTTCCTGTGTGTGCTGGTTCTGCCACATGCTCATCTTCGTGGTGTTCTGATGATGGATCATGATGATGAACCTCCTCCTCGATGTCCATAAAGGCTCATTATATAGACATGAGTTTGCTCGTGTATTCCATCCAAAAATCACGTATAAGAGGAAAGCACCATTACCCAAACGAAACGATCAGTAATCGACGCTTCCGTGAACCTGCGGTCATTTGTTCGTGATTCTTCACGAAAAACGCATGACTGATGAGGCCAGTTAGTTTCATGATGCGTCCATCCCACGAATATGAGTTTATCTTACTCCCTCTGCTGCAAAATAAACAAAAAATCGGATGTAAATTGATTTGGAATCGTGTACGTCAAAACGTTTTTTTTTCCCGGAAAATATGTTTTCGTTGATACGTTTGAAACGATATGAACTGATGATACCAGGAAGCAATTCCCGTTGGATACATCCTCATTTTTTCCGAGGATATTCAATTTCAAAGGCAAACAAAGTAAAATCTTGTTTCAATACCGAACTCGCATCCAGGATGAAATTTTTTTTGTTGCTATAGACTAACGGTTTTAAACACATTTTCGACTAAAATCTGGCGGGAAATAGGGAAAAAACACCGTAAATTGCCTCTACGGCAGCTAATCCCACACCTGTTGTGATTTCGAAACCTCGCTGATGAAAATAAGGATGAACATTTTTTATGCAATACAGTACTTTTCTAATATTGAAAATATCTTTCTAGTTTCTCCTGTAATTCGCTGCTTGTCTTTTAAAGATAAAATAAAAGTACTGCAGATGTGGGAGAAATACTCTCTTCCAAATTTTGATTTGTCCCTCGTGATGACGAACGAATTTTTCTTGGCTCTCATCAATATTCGCATTCATCATATACTGTATTTGAAAATCTGGTGTCGCGGAAAATAGAACTTTGAGGCTTCAATCGTGGAAAGAATAACATTAAGGAAAAAAGTATTTTTATGCAGAAAATGCCTGAAAAAAGTTGTCTCGATAGTCAATGGCGTCATGAGATTGCAGATAAAATCTGCTTACGGTAACATTGGATCTGCTGATCTAGAAAATCTTTTTAGGAGAAGAAAAATAAATAGGT